TTAAATTTTGTTACTTCTTACTGTAAATATTCTTAATTGTGCTATTTTATTAATTTTAAACTTTATTGATGGATTTTATCAATTAAAACTTTGGAATAATTTAAATAGTGCTTTCGAAAATTATTTTACAAGATAAGCAATTTTTTTAAGTATATTTTCATGTAAAATAAAGAAAAAAACGTTATTAAGCGCTCATTTTAACATATATAAGAGCTCTAGTAATAATCTAAAATGATGCAAAAAATTACGATGCTAGAAGCGAAACTTTTGTTTTTCTGATTTTTTTATAAAAATTCTAGATATTTAATCACTAAGCCTAATTTATTATACTTAGTGATGCAAAACCCTGTCCTGTACAGTGACTGCCTTCGATTCCCTTCCGTCCCGCACGAGCATCTTAAACAAAGGTGCGCCGTCGCGAAAGGGGTTAATCTCAAAATATGAGCCACTTCTTATGTGCATATAGAAACAGAACTTCCACTATCTAAAATTGCTTTTACTTTTTCACCAAATGAATTCTTAATAAATAACATCGCAGTGCATAGAAGGCTGCTTGATGGTAGGCAACACTTATCCACATCCGTGATTAATGAGGTGCCTGTAACATTTTTATTTTGATTGATTGGCGACACCATATGTGATGAGTCATCATTATGAGTGGGAACTATCTTCGAGTTATTTATAGCATTAGAAAACGGAATGCTTCCACTGTCTTGAATTGAATACATCGAGGTACTTTAATTTATTGACGAGGGGAAATACTTATGAAGCAGTGAATGATGATTAGATTTTTACAAACAATACAAACTCTCTTAGACTTACAATCATAAACAGAATGACACTTACTTAAACAATTATTACAGAGTTTATTAGTTTTAACCAAATCTAATCTGTCTCTTAATTTCATTTTTTAAATGTATCACAGTGATATAATGGATGATTAGTTTGGGTTTTACAAGCTACACATATTTTGAATGAGTCATTAGAATTGACGATAAAGGTTTTCGACCATTCGCAAATGTGCTTAGATGGAGTGTTGGTGTTAACAAATACTTAGAACTTGACACCTTCTTTCTAAGAATTGTAAAAAGTTATCAAAATCTGGGACTTCATTGTCCTTTAACGTGAATTCAAACTGTTTTCTTTTTTCTCTATTTTTTCGAGAACGACAGTTATTAACAAGGCATTAGAAAATTTGTCTCTTTCAAAATCTAAAATTTTCAGCTATCTTATCTAGCAAGTTTCGAAATTCTTTGGCTGACTCTCGTTTGATAGATTGAAGATTGAGAATGTTTTTAATGTGATAGTCAACAATAATTCTTTTGTTTTGGTACCTTCGCTTTAGAGCTTCATCTGAGGTTTCTATAATGTTTGCTTTTCCTTTTAATGACCCACGTGTTTTCAGAAAGCTCTGAATTTTCGTCAATTAGTTTAGAACTAAGTTTTGTTTAAAAGTCAAACAAATTGACTTTTAAACAAGTTCAACTCCTCAAATTTTCCAGTGAAAATAGGAAAATGGATTTATGGAAGTTTTATTGACAGTAGCTTCAACTGATCGTTATTGCTCGAATTCAAATAAGTAGAACTGTCAGTGTTTTGATTTAGATGCAGAATTATTTTCACTAACTTTAAGCTTATTAATTAAAGTTTTTAGACTTGCATCTGAATTTTGCAAGTCTTCATCTATCTGCAACAGCGTTTTTTCAATTTCTTCAAAATCTTTTTCGCTGACGATTTTGTAATATTCTTCCTTAACATTGAATTTTTCTTGAAGTTTCAAAATCACATCCAAATGAGCTTGTAGCTCGGAGATATTTTTATTATCCTCACATATAGTAATCTTCCTTAACTGTCCTTTTATATTCCTGCGTTTGCGATTCAGCATTGTACTGGCTGATTGAGTCGCCATTGTTCTTATGATTTGAACCGTTTAACTTAATGCACTGGTAAGACCTCCGGGTGTCTAGGACCGAATGTTACGGAGGTTTGATTATAAAATAGTGGACTGTAGTTTAAAAAAATTTATTTATTTCCGATACACAGTTTGCATTGGACAATGTGTTACGCTCCGCTAGTTGCTGTATCTTGAGCAGATACAGAGATGCTATTGATACATCCACCCTGTTAGAGGGTGCACCTAGTTAATGGTGGTGGCGCTACGATATGCATTACATAACAAATATATTTTTATATAATTTAATTTCTATTGAATTTTACCTTGAAATATAAACTGCTGGCCAGTAAAATTGTTGTATCGTGAAGTATAAATGCAACAAAATTGTATTTATTTTACAAATACCTTATAATACAAGAATGGAGTGGTTATATTTTCAAATAGTTTTGAATGCGTAAAATATATACAGAGTTAGTAATACATATTGGTTAGTGTAAGGGTATTGAATGAATTCTTTGCCAGAATCAGTCTGTTACTGTGATTTTTTGTTTTGTTTTTTGTTGTGTGTGTGTGTGTGCAAATATGAATCAGGTATGTTCAGTCAATGAAAAATCTTGTGAAATGTTCCAGCTAAGACAAAAATGGAATGTGCCATGTATATTAAGGAAATGTTGGACACTGTTAACCCTTTAAGCGTGTAGCGTTTGCTCCTGCGCGTGCACTGATGACGAGGTGAGTTCGTCAAGCACGCTTAAACGGTTAATGTGATTGTCTGTTGGTTTCATTGTGTGATATAAAATGATATGGGGCAATGACACAGTCTGACTTCTGTGATTAGCGTGCTTTTCTGTCAGATTAGGTTAATTTAAAATGGTGCAGCATTTGAAGGCTATCTGCTTAGAGGAGAGGGATGCCTTATATTCATGTTACACATGAGAAAAGCCACAACAGCCAATCATGCAAACAGCCCATTCACCTAGGATTGAACTTCTAGTATTCAGCAATCGTATCCACTCAACCACTGGTGGGACTTTGGCTTATCAGAATACCAAACACATGTAATAGAATTGTACTCGTATCTAAGAATAGCTAAACAGTGACATCTTATACTATTTATTAGCTGCTACTGCAGGCCAGTATGGCAGTGCTTAACAAAAGACAACAATGATCAGTGTTGTTCAATATTCTTTTGTTATCCATAATGTGCTGTACAATATTCTTTTGTTATCATAGATACTTTGCTGTACTGTCAAAGCAATGGTTCTAAGCTGGTGGGGAAATTAATTTCTGTAATGAAGAAGGGAGGGAGGCATTTGACCTCAGATTGGTAGATTGAAACTAATGAAAGCTCTTAGCAAAGAATAGCTAAGAGCCAAAGTCAGCTAGCTATGAGTCAATTAGCTGCTTGCTAAAAACTGCTTAACCCTGAAAAGGCAAAATCAGTTGTAATATTCCCTTATTAATATTTGTTAAACATGGCAATTTATATATTAATAAGGGTGTAAAGAATATTTATTTATTAAATATAGTAAACCTTAAATTTATATGTACTTTTATAATGTACTTGGAAAAAAAAAAAAAGAAAAAACTCGAGTTTTATGTATTACACTGGAACAACTATGAAAAAGTATTTTATATTTATTCTATTAAATTAAGTTTAATGAAAAGTAGAAGGTTGGTAGCATGACATCAAGATTATTATGTAGTCTAGTACAGAGTTTCTTAAAACTTTGGGTTGCAGGGGGTCATTTTACCAGTTTTGATATTTCTGTAACTTATTATAATAAATTTACAATTTCAAGGTTTGTACGAGTAGTTGAATGAAATTTTCAGTGGAAAATGGAATATATTGAGATATCATGTAAAGAATCTGGAAACTGTTCAATGACACTAGTGACGTATGCGCAGACCCTGAGGTCAAAAACTTGTTACAGCAAGACCACTATTTGACAGCAATTTCTAAAAAAAATGGACAACTAATTTCAGCCCGAATTGCAAGAACTCAGTTGTCCAGATATACCATGTATAACAGGTGTGTGAAAGAGAAATGTATCTAAGGGAACCTATGATTTTATGAAATTTTATTCACTTCTATTATTATCTTCATCTGCATTTTACTTAGATACTTTAAATGAGCAAGTTTTTTTTATGTAACCCTGCTTTCACATAAATATATTTAACTTTTAAATATTTGACCATTATTACATACTAAAAAGTTAGAGTGATATAAACATAAAAGAAAACAGCTGCCAAATGTATGTAAAATTCAAAATGACTTGCAAAGGGCTTGCTTTCCAAAATTTCATGTTTTAGCAATAGCCGAATTTTAAAATATATAAATCTGAGAGAAATACTTTAACTATGCTTCTTTATGGCTTTGTCAAATTCGTATTTCACTTGGCAGTTGAAAATTCATGCAGAATTAATACGAATGGTGCTTAACCCTGTTAATAAAAATTTAATTTTGTAGGAGCACACAAAAATTTTAATAACTATTTTATAATAAAATGTGCTAATATTTTAATTTTTAGAAATTCTCTTATTTTGTAGGAGCACACAAAAGTTTACTAACTATTTTATAATAAAATGTGCTTAATATTTTCGCTGAAAAGAATGAAGATAACGTGGCACATCATATTCACCTAGGCATATGTCATTACATAAAAGATATGATTTTTTTATGTACCTGATGTACCACATGAATTAAATACTCACTATTTTTTGCACCATGTGAAGGATGTGATAAGAAGCTATACTAAATTTTAAGGTATCATGATAACAGGTGTGTGATTCTTCTAGTTAGATTTTTATTTAGTATCAATTAGTTCAATTAGGGAACGTGATTATTTATTTAATGGTAAATCCTGTCAGTTTAAATTACATTTGTTGTAATACTAACCTAATTAACTAACATTTGCAAAAATGCATGCTGATTTTTTTTTTTTTTTTTTACTCACTGTACTGTGTGCTGTACTATTAATTATTTGCTAATAGTATGTATGTATATATATTACTGAGAGAGAAAGAAAAATTTATATGCTGTTAAATACTCTCTCTTCTTTATATGTAGGAAAGAATATCATTTCTAATTTATGTTATAATCTAGGTTGAAATCAGACCAATGATGTATGTAGCTTTGACATATGACCATCGTCTCATTGATGGACGTGAAGCTGTTCTTTTCCTTCGAAAAATCAAAGCAGCTGTAGAAGATCCAAGAGTTATGCTGTTAGATGTTTGAATGGCGGACTAAGTTAATTATAGAATTTAGGTAGACTTGATGACAGGATGGAGCTTTCCACTTTGCCCAAATGCAGTATTTTCTGAGAGCATTCATTCCAAGATCTGATAGCATTAAAAGATATTAATATGCTATGTTTCTTAATGCCCTGAATCCAATATATTAATTTCACCAAAATATTAATTTATCATATGTAATTTAATGAAAACATGAACCAGATATTTTGCATCATTTGTTTAGAAGTGAATATTATTTTGGTACTATAATCACAAGTAAATTATTCTATTCTGCTTTAATAGGTGATAAATTAATAAAACAATATTTATGACAATTTTCAAGAATGTTGAATTTTTATTTTAATATAAAATATCAAAATACCGTATATGTGTTTTTTAAGGTATTTTCAGTATACCGTTTTAATCTAATATAACATGTAATCTAATTTCATAATGAAAATGCCTGTTGAATTACATTTGTTTCGTATTCAGACTGGGAATCAAAATATTTTAATTAAAATAATGGTATTGCTATAAAAAATATTTATTCATGTTCGTCTTTTTAATACAAGTTTTAATTTCTTTTGTTTAAGATTTACTATGCAGGAAATTTATAAGGCGATTTTAATGGGAAAAACTTATCTTAAAATGTAATTAATGGTGAATTAAAGAAAATTAGCTAAAGTGTATACATTAAAAAGAACTGTTATCTATTCTCCAATCATCAGCCAATTTACTAAAAGTCTTAAATAATTTGTATATCTAGAGGGGAAAATATTACTACCTTAACAAAAGATTCAGTTATACATTTTCCCACCAAATAAGAAATTCATTTATGTACAAAATAGAAAATTAACTAAAATTTATAATACTCTAGTGCATGTGTATTGCACAGAATTTATACATTGTTATATAAGTTTTGCAGTATTTATTGAAATGAAGCTCCGAAACAAAATCTATTACTTTTATTATAGTTATGCAATCTTCTGAACTCATTCAAGTTTCAAACATTAATAAAAGTATGCATCACTTTTAAGGGAAGGTTTCTTTCGCTTTTAATGAATTCAGTTATTAGTCATTTTCCAAAACCCCAGCAATTGTTCATCTAATTTTAATGTGTAGGTTAATGTATTTAGCTAGGGGATCAGTCAGTAATTTTTTCTGCATGTATTTTTCCTCAATTTTTAATTTTGCTTCGGGCAGGAAATATATAATCTGCTTAATCTTCTTCACAACATGGACTGTTTTCCAGTATTCAGTTCTGCTATTTTATCATTTTAAAAATATATTTATAGGATATATCACACTTGGTATTGGCTTGAAATCTATTCACAGTATACAGCTCAATTATAAAGATGTTGAAAGCCAAAAAAATTATATGAATCATTTCTACATAGCAAAAGGTCTTGGATGAAAATATTACGAGGGTCAGTCAAAAAGTTAGTTGCACTGCCTAAGAAAACAAAACAGGAGCAAAATTTTACAATTACTTTATTTATATCTTAAAGTTCCATTCAAAATCTACTTTTCAACGTAATTACCTCCGTTATTTAAGCATTTGTCGAGGCGTGGTACAAGTTTTTCAATGCCTTCTGCAAAGAAATCCCGTCCAATGTCCGATAACCATTGTTGGGCTGCAGGCTTTCACTTCAGCATCTGAATGGTACCGTCGCTTTGAAAATTCTTGTTTCATGGGACCAAACACATGGAAGTCGGGAGGTGAAAGGTTTGGGCTATAACGAGGGTGACTGCACACTTCCCACCTAAACTTTTTCAGAAGGTCACACGTTTGTTTTGCTGCATGCGGTCTTGCATTGTCATGCAGGAGCACAATGCCGTTTGACAGTTTACCTGGCCATCGATTTTTAAGTGATTATCGCAATCGTTTTAGTGTTTCACAATAGGAAGATGCATTAATTGTGGCAACCTTCAACTCTGTATGTACCTTGCCTTCTCTCTCGAAAAACAGTGTCATCATCATTTTTCCTGCAGATGGAACAGTTGGACACTTTGTTTGTGTCGGGGAACTGCATCATTTCCACTCAAGCGAGCTGCGTTTCGTTTCAGGTGAGAAGTGGTGAATCCAAGTTGCATCTCCAGTCACAATTTTGTCCAAAAACTCATTTCCTTCCATTTGGTAACGTTGCAGAAATGCAAATGCAAACGCATTTTCAATTTGGACGCTATTTGCAGCTGTCGAGACATGTTTGCGACTGATTATCAGAAAAACTAAACCTGCCTCGTTGAAGCATATATGTCACACAATAAAGGTACATCTGAAGCGTTGCCACACAGTGTCATCCAAATAATCTTAGACAAAACATATTTACGCAGTAGTGCAACAAACTGTCTGATGGACCTACGTACATCACTTAGAAGATATATAAGTGGATTTAAAAATGCCCCCTAAAAAAAATCATATTAGTGACAAAATTGCTGAATATTGTTTTACTTATATATTTTAATTTTAGAACTAGTAGAATATACACTGCTCGACATTGAAAACACCAAGAAGGAGTGGTCAGACAGTGATGAAATTTGGAAAAAAGACAGACAGCAAGCAGCAATGAGTGATCTTTATTTCAAAATGATAGTCGGAATACAGAGCGAGAACGGCTTTGGCTCAGTAAGATGTAGGACCACCATGGACAGCGATGCACAAAGAAACACGCCTAGGCATAGAGTCAGAGTGCAGATGGTGTTCTGAGGGATGGCTTTCCATTCCCTTTCAACCATTTGCCACAGTTCGTCTTCCGAACGAGGCAGGGGGAAAGTCTGCAAACGGCATCCAATCTTATCTCGCACATGTTCGATTGGTGACAGGTCAGGAGAGTACGGTGGCCAAGGAAGCATCTGTATACCTAGCAGAGCATGTTGGCGGATGCGAGCACTGTGTGGTCGGGTGTTATCCGGCTGAAAAATTGCATTTGGCAGCCCCTGAAGGCAGGGGATTGCCACCGGCCGCAGTACATTATCTAAATATTGTTGGGCCGCCGTAGTGCTCTGAATACGAACTAGAGGTGACCTGTAATCGTAGGCAATAGCGCCCCAAACCATTATGCCACGTTGTCATGTGGTGGGACGTTCCACAGTTACTGCCTGATTAGATCTGTCTCCACGTCAACACCACATATGTATGCGGCGACTGTCACTGGATAAACAGAAGCATGACTCATCTGAAAACACGACGTTTCACCATTCTGGCATCCACATCACTCCAGTCCGGCACCATTCTAAACGTTGACATCTATGCTATGGGGTCAATGGCAGTCTTCGTAATAAACGCCGTGAGTGCAGGCCACATTCAACCAATCGACGGAAAATGGGTCTGATTGACTTGGGAACATCCAGGGTATCTTGCACATGCTGCAGAATCTTGGTACAAGTGACTTGCGGGACCGCCACAGCTTGTCTGCAGATGCGTCAATCCCCACGTGCTGACGTCACTTTGGCTGCACCTGCACCCCTTCATGTTCCACCATGTTCGCCATAGCCGATGCACGTGCTCGCATCCATGTGGGTATCAGCTGCGATTTGACGTAAGGACCAATCCACCCTTCTCAGTTTGATCACAATACCCCTCGTAAATTTGTCTCTCTGCTGGAAGTGCCTTGATTGACAGTGGCATGGCATTCTCTCTTATTACGGGTATCATCCAGGACAAAACCCAACTCTCTTCGATAATTCGTCTGGCAGAAATAACGACACAAATACTGCCCATTCTGCATGTTCCTTCCCTTATATCTTACTTCACGTGCGTCGGAGAGCTGTGCATTTCACATCATTCGCATAACTTATTGACGTGCGTCTACTCTAAAATTTGCATAAATTTCTGACCACTCTTTCTTAGTATTGCATTTTTAATATCAAGCAGTGTATAACTCTGCCCCACCTGTCAGTTTGACAGATAATTCAAAAATAGGATTTCATATGCAATTTTTTATAAAAATTATGAACAGAACAATTTTTATTAGGAAGTATACAAAATTTTTTAATTGAAATATTTAATATTAATAGATTTCTTAATTATGTCTTCAGATTGAATTCATTTTGTTCTTCTTACACAGTGCTATTGATGGGATTTGCTAGCGTCGGAATTTCTCGTGAATTCTTTAAAATGTGTTATACTAAATCACATTCTTGTTAGGTAAAAATTCTGCTCTTGCTCCAATATTTGTTTGTATGTTAGCTGTATATAACGGTCAAATAGTTCCTAGAAATAAATTATAGTAAAAGATTGCAAATGACAGGAGTACTTTGCAGATTACAGTATAATGTAAATTATCTGATTATACTTTTCTTTACTACTTGAGGTAATTTTTATGTAAAACTGTATGTGCTTTACGAGATGTTTAAGGGAAAATGATGTCAAAACTGTGTAATGCATCAAGAAACTATATATTCTGTATACTGAAAAAATTCGTATCTTTCTATCATCCCTGCATCCAATGTTATGACACAATAGGTAGCAGAATAGATTTAGACTTGTTTACTATCTCCAGTCACATTAGATTAAATAGATTCTTTCATGGGGAGCAGGAACTTTGAGATTAATTTCTAATATGTTTCTTCCCTCTCAAATATAAATATGACTAACAAAAGCAACCACATTTAATTGTGCAATGGTCTTTAACAGGATATATTATGTAACGATATTCAGAAACATCTTTATAAACTTGTCAAGCTAACTTGTATACTTCTATACAGGGTGTTTCATAGATCATGGGACAAACTTGGAGGGATGGTGGAGCATACTAAAGCATGCATTTTTTTATAGGAATGTAGGGTCGGTCTAAAGTGACTGGTTAAGGTAGGAACGGGGGAAAAAAAAAAAAAACGACACGAGGGTAAAATGTGTTTATGTACAATATCAATGCAAGGTGCTTTTTTGTAGCAATACAGTATTCACAATAAATGTTCAAAATTGTGACCACCAGCAGTAATGCATGCTTGGTAACGTCGCAGAAGGGACTGATGAACATTTTGAAAAACGACAGGCATTTCACGCACGCTTGCAGCTGCAATGGAGAGTCGTGCAACGAGGTTCTCCAGTGAGTCAACGCGAGTCTCGTAAATGATGCTCTTCAGATGGCCCCATTAAAAAAAATCCAAGCTGGATAAATCTGGCGAACGGGGTGGCCATCGAGCATGTCCACCACGGCCAATCCATCGGCACAGAAATGTTCCATACAAGTAATTGCGGACCCGCACGTGGTGATGGGCTGGTGCGCCATCATGCTGGAAGCACATGCGATCACGAACGACAGCCGGAACATCCTGCAGCAATTCCGGTAGCACCTCTTACAGAAAAATATTACAACATAAGCCATTTGTACTTGCAG